AGAGGAGCAGGTCTGGAAGCTTATTTTATTTTTCTATCAAGGGTATTTTAAATAGAGGCTAGGTAGAGTGAAGTTTTATTGCTTCCTCCGTGGGAGGATATCTGAAACGGAGGCAAGCGAGAGTGTGAAGAAAGGAAGTTGGCTGGGGTTTCTAGCCTCGGTTTTTAACAATAAAGAGTAAGGGAGGGGGGTGGTTTTTGAATCCTGAGACCTGAGGAGGAATTCTGGAGAAGAAGCACCAGGAGGAGAGAGACTGGTGGTGCCAGCTGTTGCTGCCAACTGTTGTTGTGGACTTTGGAGGCATCTGGACTGTGGCCATCGCTGCTGACATAGGTGCTGGGACATTGTGGGGGGGAGTTGCCCTGGGGGATGAGCCATTGCCATAACATACTGGCCGTCATTGTTATTGTTACCATCTGGAGCCGGGGTTTACCCCCCCCCCCATTTCATCGGACTCTGAACGATTGCTCAGGGGCTTGTTACTCCTGCTGTTAAAGCAGCCCTGAGCTGTTATATACATCTTCGGGGCATCAACCATTGTGACCGGTTAAGTTCGTGCCCGAAAGTCCTGCTTCAACAAGAAGAGCCTGCCACTCATCAATGCTGCCTGAGTTCCGGTTGTAAGACATCTCACCGATCTCTAAAGAACATTACCGCAAGGCTGGACAAGGGGGGTTGTGGCCGGGAGGGCCTGGGCATTGGCGGCCTCTGAAGAGGTAGCGCTACAACATCAAGAGCAAGACTTTGGGAAGTCTCAAATAACATCTGAGGAGCTAAAGGCCTGTCTTCCATTGGTGAATGTCATTGTTAATAAGATCATCATCAGAACAAAACTTAACAAAATGGTGTGCATGGCATGTTTCAAGGACTGAATGGCTTAGGAAACCAAAATGAAGAAGGAAACCGCCGTATCAATTTCTTCTACTCCAATGATTTCTTTACAGCTAACACTGTCTTCAAACAACCAAAACATGGACATCACAAGATGGACTAAATATAAATCAAATTGACTGAGGTAGAGGAACAAAATTATAGCATCAAAGACATGACCAGCTACTAACTATGGAACTATGAACCGTTCATATGCAAGCTACAAGTTAAGCTAATCTCCATGGAGATTCTCAGTTATCCAGGTCATGGTTGTTCCAAAAGCAACTGGACTTGCTTTGTTTTTTCTTGAAGATGTTTCGCTTCTCATCCAAGAAGCATCTTCAGTTCTGAGTGAATACTGAGGAATGGAAAGATTTATAGTCCTTGCAGTCATTTGGTTAGTAGTATTTTGAAGGTGGGTCATTAGCTCTCTGAGAGTGTTGAGGCCCCTTGGAGGTTTATCTGTGCCCTCAAGGTCACCTGAATCAGAGTGCAAATGGGTGTGGAATCTTCTCGGAACTGCTTGAAGTCTGGACAGAGAGGACGGGTAAAGAAGCATTAATGTTAAAATGAACAGCCCTTTCTCAACAGAGGGGGGAGGATACAACTCTACCTATCTCCTGTTTTTCTTTTGTGTCTTTCTATATATTACAGCAAGTATAAGTAGAAAGTAATTCCAATGGCATACTTAAGAGGAATACAACTTGCATGTTCTTCCATACTGAAGAATTTGAATGTGGTTGATGAGATTTTTCTTATTTTTGATTTGGGGGAGCTAAATGTTTAAATAATGTGAAAAAATAAAGATCAGATAATAATAAGGAATGGCAAATACAGAATAAGTCTAAAATACAGCCCTAATAAGAGACTGCTTAAATGAGAGCAGTTCTATATCTTTATTTTAATGAATGAGTTTCTGCTTTCCTTCCAAAGCTGTTTTCATTTTGCATATATTTCTACACTGTTTGCTTAACATTTTATTAACATATTGTGACCTTACTTGTTGTAGTTACACAAATAGGTGAACTATAAAGAGATTCGCCTTCAGGATCTGTGACTTTAAGTCGAAATCTGTACGTTGTTCTAGGTTCAAGACCTTCCACAACATGCTGTCGGGCATATCCCCTAAAAAGGAAGTAATTTAGTTTTTCTAATTACTTTCTAACATTTTAGACAATAAAACAACATATTAGCATTGTTAATCACTGAGCATGTCTGATATTTAATACCTATGAATGTCAATGCTGCTGAAGAAAAAAATAATTTTGTGGGTAAAAGTTAATCCATTTTTAAAAATATACATACTATTTTTCTTTATTATGCATCAATGAACTATCTGCATATTCATATATATATCCAATGTTATTATGTGATGACTGCAAGACAGATGCAGAATAAACCCATTTGTGCATAAATATTTAAACTATGCAGATGTAAAAAAAAATCAGAGATGCAAGAACTGAACAAGAGTCAGAATATCAGCAGAAGTGTCACCAGATATATACTTACAACATATTTTTAAGGATGAAAAAACAAGGCTGATTATTCTAATGGTGTGCACTAGGATTAGACCAAGACACCAGAATGCCACCCAAACTGCCATGTGCTACTACTTCATTAAATAAAAATCTTCCTAAAACTGTTTCCTAGACCTTTCAGAATAATTTAAACTTAAAATACTGTTGATGGTGTACAATGGCTAGTTTGATAAATGATGTAAAAGGGAATACTGAAACAGTCTAATTCTGCCACCTAGTGAAAAATTCTCCAAAGAATCTTCCAAAGAAAACCCCATTATAATTTAAAACAAAGCTAGTAACAGCAGTTAGGCCACCACTGATAAGCAAAATAACTTCATACTCTCTCTCACTTTCCCTCCATATGATAAATTTCCAAATGTAGAAAATAGTTGATAATAACTAATATGAAAATTGCCTCTAGAGTGGTCATGACAGTATCAACTTAACTGTGAAACATTCTAATTTTTCCTCAAATGTAATCAAACTCCAGAGAAACAAAAGAAGGAACCAGAATTACTGAAGGTCTGCCCTGCTGAAACCATTTTGCAAAGATGTCATAATCTATCCCTATGTTTAAAAGGAATGATGCTTTTCTGTGAAGGCATTAAAAGAGCAACTTCAAAGGGGAATGTGTCTTTGGGCGGCCCTTAAGGAAGTTCAGAGGGCAGGCCAACTTGTTAGTCTCTAATTTAAAGGACCTATTTTTTAATGTCAGGTTGCTTGTTCATAAAAGCATTTATTATCCAAATTTAATCCTGGCTGAAAATAGTCTCTAAATATTGTATAAGGCCTGATTGAAAGAGTTAATCTGTCTCAGTATTCTCTTCTAAATTAACCCATGATGCAATAGGCTACCTCTGAGGGTCGAATTCTACTTATCCCATTGACTAGGACTCTAGTCACTAGAGGTTCTACCCAACTATCTAGAAATCTCAGTGTTTGCAACCATGATCCCATGACTTGGTACTGTACACTTATACGTACTGTTCACCTGCTGCACAACAATCTTTTCCCGAGGCATCCAAAGTAATCTTTTGAATGACAGTGAACTATTCAAGATTTATTGTCTTGGGAATCTTTAACATCTGTACTAAAACATCTGTTTGTTTTGTTTTTTTAAATTTTGCTGGTCATTGACCAAATAAATATTATTCATTGATTGAAATATTCTGACCATATACCTGAAAAGAATGAATAATTTTCTGAATGGGCTTGAGAAATTTCTCATTTGATTTGTCAGTGATACTGTTCAAAATCTGGCTGATATGTGGAACAGAAAGATGGCCCAGGTAATTGATACAATAACTTCTATATATTTTTCCTCTAGCAGAGTTAAGTCAGCAACTTGATTTTCTATGGAACTAATGAAGATAGTTACAGCCTAAGTGGAAGACTTCTAAGATGGATCAATTTACCCACTAATTTAAGATCTACATAAGATCCATCTGAATTCACACTCAATTGTAGCAAATGCAGCAAAAAGGATGTATTTCTCTGCCCCCACTGCACCTGTACCAAACACAATGGCAGTACTTTATCATATACTGGAATATGTTCTCCATTAAGATGTTAGAGGTTGGAATAGAGCAATTTTCATCTTTCTTTGCAAACAACATATACTGAATTCTCTATGGCTTGGACTAGTGCTGGGATTGGATTGGTCAAAAATAGTTAATTTTTGCACCTGTCTGAAACATATGGATTCTTTTCTGCTTGCTGTAGAAGTTGAGAGTCAACATTTCTCAAGAAACTATTATAGTTATATTAACAGCCAATAGTTGCCTAGCTTCAAGGCAGATAAGCAAAAGGCAACCTCCCTCCATCCTCTAAATTAGGATTTAAATCAGGGGTAGTCAACCTTGGCTCTTTTATGACTCGTGGACTTCAACTCCCAGAATTCCTGACCCAGCATGGCTGGCTCAGGAATTCTGGGGATTGACGTCCACGAGTCATAAAAGAGCCAAGGTTGACTACCCTGATTTAAATTATGTTCCACGGTATTTTAGGATTCTCTGAGAACTTCATGGAGTACCATGACAGAAGAAGTTCAAAAATAAAAATTCATTTAAAAGCTGCTAATTTTCTTTCTTTTTTTAATTTTTTTTAATTAAGTAAACATTTAAAAACAGGTTGAACACAGTGTGACTTTTCTGGCTGTTATTTTGCCATACATACTATACCATATACCATATACCATATATCTTCCTAGTCATTGATCTTTATAATTTTCTATTACCAAAGCTTTTTCTCTTAATCAAAGGTTCTGGATTTTTTTTTTAAAAAAAATTAAAAGTTCTGCTGCATAAAAATGTTTGAAAAACTCTGCTCTAAATCATGGGAAGTGTAGGAGAAAAAAACACTGGAATTAAATTACAATAAGGATAAGGAAGGAAATGAACTTTCATCCTAACAGATGGCAATCAACTGTTTCAGTGATTTCCTAGAATGCAACAAAGATTCTTTTTTGGCATTGTCATACAAGCTTAGAGCCTTATTAAGTTATGCCAAGTGTTTGCAAGATTCTGCTGAGGTTTTGCAAGATTCTGCTGAGGCTTGACATGTGTACATATTGAGGATGAGAACAAGTCATATATAGAAATGTGAGCTGCCCAACTGCTTGACATTTGCCTTTCTGGCTGATTAAATCAATCAGGTTGGGTTTCACTCTATAGTTAAGAAATATGATAAGTGCAGAAAGTGTTTGTGGCTGCTTAATCGTTAAATGGATGGTTAGAAGTCCTTTATTGAAAAATCCCTCCCTTAGACTATAAAATCACTATAATTATAAGCAAATCCTTTACATTCAATTCTTGGATAAAATGATTGAGAAAATCATCTCTGGCACTTCTACTGTAGATGTATTTGGATAAAGCTGATTATCTGGATCTATTTCAATACGGCTTTTGATTTGAGTTATAGTGATGAGACTACTTTGGTCACCTAAGTCAGGGGGTAGGCAACCTTGGCAAGTGGCTCAGGAATTCTGGGAGTTGAAGTCCACGAGTCATAAAAGAGCCAAGGTTGCTTAACCCCTGACCTAGGTACATGATCTTTGTTGAAAACCAGGTGGGAAAAATATAATTTGGCTAGGTCTTCCAATCAGTTTTTGATACCATCAAGCATGATTAGAACGGTCATTTGATGATGATGGTCACTGTAGTCAGTTTTATTAGAATTTTATCTTTTCCTATACAATTCCATATTTGCATGAAACTGTTGGAGAAGGTCATTTAGAGCTTTGAAATGGGTGCCATCTTTCACTTTCTGCAAGTCTACTGCTTTCTATCACTTTTATTTTTCTACAGTATCGTCTTTACATTGTTTAACCCGAATGGTAATGAAATCTACTTAAGATGCTGCTCATAAGACTACTTGGGACATACTGTAGTTGCACTCTTCCAGAAAGAACAACTCCTATTGTCACTGAGTTGCAAGTTATAGGGACATTTCCTAAACAAATAAGATTTCTGACAGTGATCTCTACTTTGATTTTTCTCTTGACAATTGCTCTATTGAAAACTAAGCTTTAATAGTTCCTGAAAATTACAATCAATACAAAATGCAGTATTCATGATGCAAGGTAGAAGAATACATGGTGCCTATATAAAAAGGTCTGCACCGCCTGCCAATTGCTTATTTGACACAATTTAAGATGTTAGCCAATAGCTCAGGGCATGAAAATCTATGAGACTACATCTCCCTCTATGAACCTGTCCAATTACTTATATCAGCAGGAAAAATACTGGGGGGTCCTTGGTGCTCTTTGAGCTTGGTGTTTTTCTTGCAGACATTTCATTACCAAACTTGGTAACATCATCAGTGCACCAGTAATGAAATGTCTGCAAGAAAACCACCAAGCTCAGAGAGCACCAAGGACCCCATCCTGAGCTACAAATATTCTCTTCTATCGGAAAAGTACTTATAAAGAACCATTTAGCAATAACTAGTATATGTGTAAAATCCTTTTCCAAAGTGGTCTTTTGAAGACTATGAATGTTTCATCTCAGGGAGATGTATTTGATTCCCAGTATTTAGGCAAATTGTAAAAATGCAACTTTGGTCCTACTCTTAACTGTTAATTGATTTTAATTATATTCATAATACTGTCATTATTTATATTTCGTATTAAATTGTTGTAAGCTATCTACAGTTCTTATGTAAGTGAAAAGATTGTGTTTATATGAACAGATAGACAAACAGTACAATGCTGTAAGAACTTAGTTATACCAAAATAAGAAAGAAAATAAAAGATAAGTTTGCACATTCCCATGCAATAAACCCCTTGGTAGTAGTTGATCCATCTGTTATTACATTTCATTTCAAATATTCCACTGAATTACATAAAAAATAGTGACATAGTTCAGCAATCCAAAGAACTTAATACTGTATTCTAGTAACATTGCAATTACATCTAAGAATTGATTTCAGAGAGTTATGTCAGTTGAATTAGTCTTGCATGCTCAGCCTTTTTTTTTTACTTGTAGAAACAAAATGGTAGAAATGAACTTACGTGTAAATCAGACCATATTTATGCAGCTTAGGATCTTCTCCTTCAACTGAAAATTTTAGCCATTGCTCTTGAGGACCTTTTCGCTGTTCTTCCAAGTCCCAACTCAGTTCAATATTATGATGGCTCACATGGCCTACAACTGGAGGGTGTGGCTTTACTCTAGAACGTCTTCCTACAAATGAACCACATCAAAATTAATTTACTTTGACAATATATACAAACAACTTTCAAGAACTGAAAAAAATCAGACTATAAATTAAAATAAATGAAAGTAAATCAGTAAAAGCAATATAAAATAGCAGCAGAATAGGTTGTTTGCTTCAAAAAAGCCTTATGCTTTTAAACCTTTTAAAAAGAGTTTTAATTTTTTATTTGAGTGCCAATAGGGACAGAATTTCATGCTGCTGCTGCTGCTGCTACTACTACTGCTACTACTACTACTACTACTACTACTACTATTATTATTATTATTATTATTATTATTATTATTATCAGGGCTTTTTTTCTCAGAGAAAAGGTGGTGGAACTCACCTCCCTCCCCTGGCCACGCCCCCACCCAAACCTGGCCACGCCCTCATCAAACCCTAGGACCGCCCCTTTAGAGAACAGGAATGCCTATTTCCCGCGCTTGGTGGGAAACCCCGCCCTCCTCTGCTCCAGTCCGCCTGCTGATTGGCGCCCGAACGGCAGCATGTTGGCCAGCGTCCTCTTCTCCGCCTTCAGCTTTTGCTCTGAGAAGCCGCGCGCGTTTGGCTTTGAGGGCGCCGGCGTGAGAGCCTCTGGATTCTCTGCCGCTTCTTGCTCGGGCAGGGNGGTCGCCTAGGAAACGGGCCAGGGGCGCGCCGACCGAGCCTCCCTATGGCCGCGGTTGTGAGCCAGGCAGGGGCAGAGAGCTGCGAGTGCGAGCGCGCCCCCCCAGATGTTGCGCCCGGTGCGGCCGGCCCGGAAAAAGGTGCCGGAACGCGGTTCCGCCGCGTTCCGGCTGAAAAAAAGCCCTGATTATTATTATTATCCAGCAGATTTATTGTAGGGGAAGAAAAGGATAGGCTGAGACATACTGAATTTTCACCAACCTTCTTATTCTGATTTCAAACACAACTCCCTCTAATGTATTATATATAATATAATAAATTCGTACATCAGGTTAAAATAATATATTTTTTATTTCCCATATTTTCTAAGAAACAAAGTACAAACCCAGCAATATCATGGACTAGCAATGGTTAAATTCCCTATACACTGACAAAGAATATAAAATTAATCACAATACATAAGGTTAACAAGGCTTGTGTGAGTTCTAAAGAAAAGGTAAAATAAGATCCCTAAGATAAGAAAAATACCACTCCTAGAACTAATAAATACCATAATCATTTTGCTGCCTAACCATAGATTAGGCTAATCAGAAATTTACTGTAGTATTAGTTCCAAAAGTGGTTTTTCACAAGTCCAAACTTTAAAAACACATACATATAAAGCCAGATTTGGGAAGATAGAACCTCTGCAAAAAAAGCTGAAGAAACAGTGGATCACCTAAGTTAGCTGTGCAATAAAATTTCAGTGGAATCTGCAGACACTCGCAGATACAGAACTTTTATTATACACATTAGAAAACTACATTACAATACTTTTTGATATAATCGCCATTCAATTTGAGGCACTTGTCATAACGTCATACAAGGTTTGAAATTCCTTAGTAGTAGTTGCTCGGCGCCAAATCTGGTCTGGGGGGGGTCAAAAACATCCTAACAGAATTGCTTCAAAAGTCCTTGGGTGCATCTAGCAGTATGCAGGCGAGCATTATCGTGAACCAACACCATACCGGAAGTGGTACCATAGAAAATCCTGCCAAATGTGAAGATGCCAGTGAAATTCATGGAGCCTGGTTCGACCATCAATTCAGAAGTCTAATGTGAAATGTTACAAAAACTCAGACAAGACATCCATAACAAGCGTCGGGGCATGCTGACTTCCAGTGTGGTTTTGGTTCATGATAATGCTCACCCGCACACTGCATACTTACCTACATACATATAGTGAATGTACAGTATATGCTTGTTTAAGCCAAGAATTTTAGGTGCCAAAATGCATCCCAAATATTGGGTTTGGCCTATCTGGGATGGGCTTATCACCAGTATTGTAGTAATACTTTTTAAAAGTACGCGCAGAATTGGAAAAATGAAAAAACGCCTTCTGAAGATGATATAATCAAGAAAATACTGGAATGTGCAGAAACGGACAGGCTCATATTGAAGATTAAAGAAAAAAATATACAGAGTATTTTCAATTATGGGATGTATTTTACCAATGGCTGGAAAGACGAGGTGGAGATTAGGATTTTACTACATGTTATTAAGATAAGACCCAGACAGTGCATTGTTTATCAGGCACTTATAAAATGTAAATTTATTTAAAAAAATGAATAATATATATATATATATATATATATATATATATATATATATATATATATATATATATATATATATATATATATAAATTTTTTATCTAAAAACCTAACTTATATTCCACCATTCTATGCTTATTTTGAATATAAACAATCCATCTTCTCCATATTGATAAAAATTGTTCATTTGAATGATCCTTCAAATAAGCCGAAATCTTTGCCATTTCAGCAAGATGCGAAACCTTCAATCTCCAGTCCTCCATTGTAGGTAAAACTTGACTCTTCCAATTTTGAGCTATCAGCAAACAGGCAGCAGTTAAACAATACAACATCAAATTCGTTTCTTTTACATCCAAATTATGTGTAATACCTAGGAGAAACAACTGAGGCAAGAAAAAAATTCTTCTTTTAAAAACTTGCTGTAGATTCCACCATAGTTTTATCCAGAAGGCCTTAATAACCTTGCAAGTCCACCACATGTGAAAAAAAGTTGCATCTTGTTGTCCANATATATATATATATATATATATATATATATATATATATATATATATATATATATATATATATATATATATATATATATATATATATATATATATATATATATATATATATATATATATATTAAAAAGTATCTGTATTTCTCATGTATACTCGTGCATAAGCCCATCCACAGATAAGCTGATCCTTGAATTTTTGTCTTAGAAAGATATCATCACTCCATAAATTGTAAAAACCAATCTAGCTATAGTGACAGGAGAAAGGGGGAATGGGGTACTCAATTCTTCTTGCCAATCTGTAGATCAATCAGAGAATAGTCTGCCTGCAGATGCATTTCTATCCTTAAAGTATTCAAACTCCCAAATTAAAGGTTGTGATTTAGGTACTCACAGTATAATAATTTTGTAGCTGTCTTGCTTACTAAAAAAAAAACAGGTTGTAATTTTTGAACCTCGTATCTTCCAGTAATATTATTGCTATCATCAGACTGTTTTCTGTTTCTCACTGATAGGTTAGGCACTGATCCTAAAGCAACTGACCACCCCTCTCTTAAGCAATCATGTGGTAGGTAAGACAGTTAAACCTCAGGAATGGGCAACAGGAAAGTAACATGTGATAATGTCACACCAAAAGAAGCAAGCTCCAAAAAATTTCCTCTGAAATGGGCTGAAATGTGAAAGATAGAGCAGAAACCTTTGACACACCAAAATCTCATGTCAAACTGTAACCATGAAGACTATGATCTATACTTTCCCACCAACTTACTATGTCAGGCTCCGATTTTTGTTTTATTGAGATTGGAATAAGCGATGAATTGGACAAATTCAAGAACTGCAATTTGCTTTAAATCTTCTAGGATTACTTCTAAGAAGATATTAAATTTTATCTAATGAAAGTTAAGAGTTCTATTTTCAACAAATTACAGATCAATTAGCTCATTTTTCACTAGCTAGTAGAGAGGTTCTGTGCTTTTAAGAATTATATAGTAAAAGCAGATAAAAATTCTAAACTATTTATTGCTATAGAGAAATAAAGAAATAATATCAAGATGAATTTGTGCTTCTCTGATTAATCTGAAAAACACAAAACCATAGCTGGAGGAAACTTGGAAACCCTATATTCTTTATCTCTTATTTAAATTAGCTTCTGGGACTTTTGGCTAAAATCAAACACAGTATTAACGTACTGTCTGATTTTATAGTGATTTAAAAAAATGTTTCAATATATGCTTGTGTGAATAGTCCGGCTATTAAAAAAATAAGTGCAAAACAAAATACTGGATGCTATAAAAATGATGGCAGTGTTTAGATTCAATTTAGATACAGTATAGGACAGGGGTCCTCAACCCCCAGTCTGTGGACCGGTACCTGGCCGCAGCATGCCAGCAACCGGTCTGCACAAACAAGCAAAGCCCCATCCATGGGATGCAGGCAGCACATGAAACCACGCACTCCCCAGTCCGCCGAAAAACCTCTCTCCACGGAACCGGCCCCTGGTGCCCAAAAGGTTGGAGACTTCTGGTATAGTATATTCATTTTACAATTTTGACCAACATGAAGCTTTATGACATCAGTTACATTAAAACAGGAAACAAAAACATTATTATTGTATGATTATGCCAATATTTATTGTTTTGTTTTTAAAAAGTTAAAAATATTTTCAGTGCTCAGAAACCCACAGAGTGTGAAATTTGATTAACTGGATATGTCTACAAATGATTTTTTACATGCAACATATCAAATTCTGCAGGAGCTTATACCTTTGCATACTGCTGTTATACAAATTAAGTTTTTATGTCATCTTGCAAAGATGACATCCTCCAATTTAATGGACTATTCATGAATAACAAAATTCTTTCCCCTCAATTAGCCTGTAAAAATGAGATTTCATAGTAATTTTAGTAAGCAAGACAGCTGCATAATTATTATACATATGTAAATAATTATATAGACCTATCATAAGAACATGTCTTTTAAAAGAAAGAAAAGAAGAGGGTCATCTAATTCTATTCACTATGTTTTCTAGTGAACTGTTTTATATTTTTTTAATAATGAAAAAAATATTAAATCAGCCAAAGTTCCCATCAGCTAACCTTATAATGCAGACATGTCAAACTCGCGACGTCACGTGACGTTGCGCAACATATCGGAGCTTTTTTGCCATTGCCGGCAATGCGGTGGACGTGGTTTCCTGATGATGCGTCCGGCCCACGGGCTGGCAGTTTGACACCCCTGTTATAATCTCTTGTTTCAAAGTCAATTTTGTAGTTTACTTTAGCTTCTCTGGAAACATTTAAAACTTATGAATAATGAAAAATAAAATAGAATTGGCTTTCTTTTCAGTAATCTGCTTTAATTATTGAAAGCAATTACTTTAAGAAGAATTACTTAATTTGGGATCTCCTTTATCTGGTCCTGAGGGAAAGTAAAACTCATGAAGCAAAAATAAAGAGGTGACATAGCAAATGTAACCAAAAGGAGACAAAGACATTAATATTTTACTGTTCCTCCATCTTGTAATAGGGGTAACAACTGAAAGATAACCGTTAAACTCTTTGAATACTGATAGAGCACTACTTACATGGAATAACCATCATGTTCCCAGAATTGAGAAATCTACTTTCTATATATAGAGTACTCTACATATATCTACAGTATATATGTGGCCTGCCACTATGATATCAGCATGAGTCACAGAACCCAATCACCATAACCTAGTCTTATGATTTAACATATTATTCACTCCCTCCATTGTATTTCTCTTGATTATTTTGAGACAGGTATTTCCCACTTTATCCTGCTTGTAGACATATTTAAAAGCATGTCATAGGTATTCTAAACAGACTTCTGCTCTAGTGGGTAATTATAATTCATACAAAGCTCTGCAAATGCCCCCAATATGGTGTCATTTATAAAAGTGGAATCTTTGGTGCTCTCTGAAATTGTTTTCTTGTAAATGTTTTATTATTCAACTACAGAACATATAAGTGCTAGTATGGGTTTGCTCCCTGTTTATGTTCAATAGCTTTCCCTGACAGGGTTGGTGGGAACGTAGTTTTCTCCTTGGTAGTTCTTTCATTAAGGTTTTATTTTCTACTTCCGGGCTCCCCAACCCCCAGTCCATGGACCGGTACAGAGCCGCAGCATGCCAGCAACCGGGCCGCACAAAGAAGCAAAACCTCATCCATGGGATGTAGGTAACACACAAAACCGCGCCCCTCCGGTCTACGGAAGAACCTATCTCCACGTAACCGGTCCCTGGTGCCCAAAAGGCTGGGGACCTCTGTTCTACTTGATTTTTTTGCCTGGTGTTAATCCTTGCTTATCTGGGTGCTGATTGCTACAGGATATGTTTTCTGGTCTTTTCGTTTCCTTCTTGGCTTCCTGTTATCTCTTTTGAATAGTGTTTTAATATGGTTTATTTCTATGTTCTATTGATAGCTTATTTGTCTGAATGCCACACATCCAGGAATTCTCTAATGTTTGGGGGTTTGGCTTGGCCTAGATTGCCCACAGTTCCCTAGCTGAAATTATGGTTGAGTCTGTTCATATGTTCTGAGATTAAGTTTTCATTACTGCTAACTGGTATTCATGGATGCACTCTGCTAGTCTTCTGCCTGTCTCTCCTACATAGTGGCTTTACAGTCCCTACACCATATGTTGTAGAATGTGTTTTTAATTCTTGGGCTGCTGGGTCTTTTGGTTTACAGTAAGATGTTTTGGAGGTATTTAATTGGTTTGTGTGCTACAATGATGCCATATGGTTATAATAGTCTGTTGATTGTTTCTGAGATGTTTTGGATGTATGATAGTTATTCTTGTCATACCTTGTGTTGGTTGTGCTACAGTAGTGGAATGAGCGGTCAGGTATTGTTGATGCACGGGTATGTGGAACACTCTATCATTGGATATAAAAACTGCTCCCACCCTTTTGGCTTCCCAGAAGGGTATTAGAATTTGGTTTTGCCAATTGGCTTGCGGTCTCTAAGGGGGCGCTCACCGCTGGAGATGGTTGACAGGATAAGATCTCATCCCTGTGTCATCTACCTCTGGGTTTGTTTGTTTTTTGCATAGTTTAAAATTTTTAATTTGCATAGTTTAAAATTTTTAATTGCTTTTCTATCTTTTTATGACCTGTAAACCACCAGGGTTGCCTTATTGGGAAGATGGGCGGCATATTTATTTTATGTATGTATGTATGTATGTATGTATGTATGTATGTATGTATGTATGTATGTGTTTATTTGATAGAAAACATTTCTGAAATTGCAAATTTTAACAGAGAAAACCAGAAAGACATTTACAGATACTACTAGGGCAAGTGCAGATCTCCGGCAAAGAATTACTGTACATTTCTAAGTTTCAAAGGCACATTATCAAAAAAATTTAAAATTTCAATTTTCTCAAATTACTTTAATAGCTATTTTTTGTTAATAATTTTTCCAAGAAAAATTAACAGAATTCAAATGTCCTCTACCTGTTGATTGTAAAGTTATGTTAGAACTTTATATATCATTCAACTGTTAAGAAAATGATCTTTGCAAAAACTCTTAAAAAGTTTCTCCAATTCCTTATACTATAGAATTTCAGCACTAATGCCCATCAATTCCCCAATATAACCTGGATATCTGTTCCTTACAATTCCATCATGCAATTTTCGTACATTTTCTATTTTCTCATTCTAAGAAAAATACTCCTGTTTTACTGGACTCTTATTCTGAATGCTTCTCCTTAAACCAACACTATCATATTCTTCTTGTTCCTGGGATCCATGAAATAACATCAGGCTCTGCTTCTTCCTCACTTCAACTTGACCCAGTGTTTCAGTTTAAATCAACAAGCCCCCTTTTCTTAACACTGTATCTTCTATTTCAGAATGGAGATCCATTTGGAGCTAAAACATTCCTATACATCAAGATACACATCGGGCAAATAATTGCTTGTTCTACTGTTCTGGATCTGGAATATTAAAGTCTAGGCACACAGGATCCAAGCATCCTACAGGGTTATGACTTCAGAGGATTGCCACCTTTTCACTGGCAGAATCCCATTTGCTTCTCACTGCACCTCCATATGGATTGCAGATAAAACCTTACCAGAGAGACAAAGAAAAAAAAAAGATGACAATTTGTACCAGTCCTTCCTCCTCCTGCCCTTTCTTCTTAAAGGACAAATTTTGCACCCATTCCAAGGTCTCCTATTCCCAAAGGAATACAATACAGGTAGTCCTTGACTTACAACAGTTCATTTAGTGACCGTTCAAAGTTACAATGCCTCTGAAAAATGTGACTTATGACCGTTTTTCACAGAGATGACCTATGCAGCATCCCCACGATCATGTGGTCAAAATGCAGATGCCTGGCAACTGGTTCATATTTATGATCATTGCTTTGTCCCAGGGTTGTGTGATCTCTTTTTGCTCCCTTCTGACAAGCAAAGTCAATGGGGCAGCCAGATTCACTTAACAACTGAGTTACTAACTTATCAGCTGCAGGGATTCACTTAACAGCGGTGGCAAGAAAGGTCGTAACATGGGGCAAAACTCACTTAACAAGTAACAACAGAAATTTTGGATTCAACTGTGGTCCTAAGTCCAGGACTACCTGTACACTAGTCTCCCTTTTATACCCTTCCAGTAAAAGCTGGGCTCTCTCCTTTTCCATACGGTGTGTCATTTTTTTTCCTTTCTGGAGAGAAGTTGACCCTGGGGATCTACACACTCTGCACGTGCCCCTTCTGAACGCGGCTCAGCAACATTGGGCTGCGTTAGCTCCAAGTTTCCGTGCTCAACTTTCCAACAAGCCTTCGGGGCTTCTCTTTCTGGGTCTCCAGGACAGCCCTCCACTCCCTCTCTCTGCCCCAAGGGGCTCTCCCCCGTTTCCCCCCTTCTCTGTCATCCGGCTCCCTCTTTTCCGTTCCCTTCTCCCTCACCTATCCCCGGCTCCATGAGCATCCGCCTTCAGAGCTTACTCCAGTCTACAAGGCCGCGCCGGCGTCCAGTTGCCATGACAACGTAACGGCCCAATCAGGCGCGCAGCTCACAGATTGATCTTTGGGCGGGGTGGGAGAAAGGGAGGGGGGGTGTACCCAGAAATTCGTCGCCGTCTACAGTTGACCGGAATGCCAAATGGGGAAAAGTGGTGCGTTTAGATAAAAAAAAAAAAATCGAGTCTTTATCACGAGAAAACTCCGCTTGGGAATTTCTGAGTCAGAGCTGTCCCGTTTTGCAGTTCCGAGTTGCCTTCCTGTTTCAGGAAACAACCGAGTGAGGTTATTTTTAGCGAGAGGAAGGATTTTGCACAGCGTTACGGAGGTTCCCGCATCGGTATTTTGATGTGTCTGTTTTTAGAGGCTGTTGTATACATCCAAGGGCAGCAAGAAAATACGCGAGATAGCAGGAATGTATAAAATAGGAATATTGCATGCTGAACGTTCCTTGGTTTCTTGCAACCTTTTGAGAAGACCTGATTTCAAAGAATTCTGGAATTCAGTGGTTGGCCTGGCCCAGAAATAATTTCATATATGTGCAGGCTTCAGGGACCATTCAGTTTCTGAAGAAGGCATTGGGGAAACCGTTTAAAAATCAGGGGTAGTCAACCTTGGCTCTTTTATGACTCGTGGACTTCAATTCCCAGAATTCCTGAGCCAGCTTAGCTGGCTCAGGAATTCTGGGAGTTGAAGTCCACGAGTCATAAAAGAGCCAAGGTTGACTACCCCTGGTTTAAATCCTTGATCTGATTCCAGATGTTTCATATTAAGCAGTGCAGTGAAATAATAATTTGTCTCTCAAATCCCAAAAAGCTCAGCTTGCAATCCTTGATTATTTTTTTTTAATGTTTGACCCCAAACTAAAGATTGTTATAATATATTTATCAAACATTTGCATCGTGATAAAACCCACTGAATTGAGATTAAGTGACCCTTTTCACAATCAGTCAAAATACCCTCATTCTGCAGTCACTTTTTCATAGGAATCGAGAAACAGGTTTTGGGCAAAAGGGAGGCATAACAGAACTCTTAATCGTATTCTATATTAGCAAAGGAGAAGCTGGAGACTATCTTGCAGGAGAACGAAACCACCTTGCTATTAATTAGTCCAAACTGAAAAAGAGGTTAATTAACTGAACATGGCAAAAACTACTGATTTTTCCTACATTGCATCTCAAGATACACATCATTCTAAATGAGGATGTTTTGATGTTTGAACTTTGATTAATTTTTTTTAATGAACCTCAAAGTCTAAAGTGATAATGAAGAGAGAACATTCAGGATCAAAACTTTCAAATTGAATAGATAGTATAAACTTTGAACTAAATTATTTTAATGACTTTTATTTTTCACCTGCACTCTTAACTCTTTGGCATTTTGTTAATGTCATGATCTTCACTAAAAACGGAGTCAGTGCTTAATTGATAGGAATATCGTATGAAGAAGAAATATGGATTGCTTAACCCTTTACTCTAAGAATCAGTATTTGTCAGAATTATTTGACTCTATCAACGGGAAAGAGTTGAAAGAGGAAAGTATGCTGAAACATATAGAAGACTTAGAAATGAGTCTTTCTAATGATTTGCTTTACTCTTCATTTGTAATAATAATAATAATAATAATAATTAATAAATCATGCTACCCAAGTCTCAATGATTTTGGGTGGCTTGCAGCAATCAAATACTATTAAAATCAATAAAAAAGATACAAAATGTCAAGTGCTGGGGGGCTCACTTCCTTGGCAAAGGCCTGGATGAAGAGCCAAGTCTTCACAGCAATTGTAAACAAAATCACAGTGGGAGCCATCTGGTTCTTGGGGGGAACATTGTTCCTGAGGGCAACACTGCTACAGAGAAAGTATACTTCCTGGATCCGGAGACATGACATTGTTTAATCAGAGGATTCTAGAACATGCCTGGACAGATGTTATGGGAGACAAGCAGTCCCTCTAGTAACCAGAAAGACTACCTAGCTTGCAAGTGAAACATTTATTCATGGAAAGTTTGCATTATTATCTGATTGTGATTGTTTCAGGGATGTTAAAATGGGCAAGAGTGCTCAGGTGGATGTTTTTTATCAAGCATTTGCAATGTGCTGTATAGATTTAATAAGTGCATTTGTATTTTTAAACATAATTCTTGTAATTGTTGTGTTCTCTTATCAAAATAATGTACCTGCATAACTGGATATTTAGTTAATTTTTAATTAGGAGCTCTAGAACTTCAGGCCAAGGTATTCTTTAGAAACTCCATTTCATTTACATATTTTATATTTTTATTTCTAACCTGATTTTTATTTATTTTTCTTTTATGTTGTTTAATTTGTAATGTCTGTTCAAGGTCTCCAGCATCTCATATGATACTCTGTCCTACATGTTACAGTTCATGGAACATAAGAAAAATTGTTCTAGTTGAACTAAAAACCCATATAGTCTAGCAACCAAAGATCACCCAGTTGTGAAAGCCCAGATGTAAGACACTGTCAAAACAATACATTCTATAGATAGTCCTCACTTATCAACTGCCACATTTAAGAATTGTTCAAAGTTACAATAGTATAAAAAATAGGGGGTTTTTGTCAATCTTTGCATTTGCAAATGTTATAGTATCTCTATGTCACATGCTCACTATTCAAGGGTTTTGCAATTGGCTTGCTACAAGCAGAATTAATAGAGAAGGTAAAAGTAAAATTGTAAATCATGGTCACATAGTGTTTCACTAATGATTCTGGGAATTCACTTAACAATCAAAGGAGAAATGAGGTCATAAGCTCATTGTGGTGATGTAATGTTTTGCTTAGCAACTGCAATGCTTAGCAACAGAATTACTAGTCCCAATTGAAGTTTCTAAACTTGGACTACCTGTAGCTATGTATCCAAGTTCCCTAGTTATGGGGCACTTTGCATGTACAAGATTTTAAGATCAAAGTGTCATAGCAGTTTGAAAAGTGACATAGCAAAGCTTAAAAGGCCATTTATCTAATATAGGCTCAAAATTTAACTTCTGGAATCTTGGTCCCTGCCACTTCATCTTATACTGTAAAAATATACTTTCAAATTACAATTTTTTCAGAGAGCTACTAACATATATTCTCATATATATATATTAAAATTTGTATCAAAAGTACTTCCTAAGTGACATACTGTATCCTACATTAGATGGGACATTGAAATTCCCAATGTGAAAAAAGATAGATTAACTGTATAGCTTCTTAAAGGAAGACATACAAGTGGTCCTTGACTTAAATGAGTTCATTTTGTGACCGTTCAAAGTTACAACGGCACTGAAAAAAGTGACTTATGACCATTTTTCACACTTATGACCATTGCAGCTTCCCCACAGTCACGTGATCAAAATTCAGATACTTGGCAACTGATTCATATTTATGATGACTGCAGTGTCCCAGAATCATGTGATCACCTTTTGTGATTTTCTGACAAGCAAAATCAATGGGGAAGCCAGATTCACTTAACAACCGTGTTACTAACTTGACACCTGCAGTGATTCACTTAACAACTGTGGCAAGAAAGGTCATAAAACGGGACAAAATTCACTTAACATGTGTCTCACTTAGCAACAGAAATTTGGGTTCCATTGTGGTCATAAGTCGACTACCTGTAGCCCTATTAGCCATGCTTAAAAGTAGGAACTAGCCAGAGTCACAGAGACAGTCTTTGTAAAATCCTACCTTATCCGAGTTACGTCTTTTGATCTGTCACAAAAAGGGAGCCCCTCCTATCTTAACATACCAAACCTGTGACCAAGGTATAGGAGAAAATTTTCATCCACTGCTATGGACAATAATCATGAATGGAAAACAATATTCCTAATCTTGGTTTTCTCTCTCATCAAGTCATCATTTTTCCCTTCCGAATTTTTGGCAGTAATAATTTCACAACCAATAGGGAGAAGATGTGCACATAAAATTCGATAGCTTTTGTATGTGAGAATAATAAAGCACAATTCAACAAAGAACTATATTCCCTTAATTTAGCAAAGGCAAGGAGAACAAGCTGTGAGTTCTCTCATTCTGACTCTGGCATCTTGGATTGCTGGCATCTTGCTAGTCCAATAAGCATCCTTATCATGTTTTGAAACAACTATAGCAGGATTATATGCACCATACTGGGAAGCCAGTGCAAGAGGAATTATCTGTGGCCTTATTCGGTTTACAAATAAAAAACATATTGCCTTTGCTGCACTAGAAGCTGTCTGCTTTCAAATACGGGAGATATTGGATGCAATGAATAAAGATTGTGGGATACCACTTAGTCAATTACAAGATGATGGAGGAACGACCAACAACAAGATCCTTATGCAACTCCAGGCTGATATTCTTTGTATTCCAGTAGTAAAACCATCCATGCCTGAAACCACAGCACTTGGAGCAGCAATGGCAGCTGGAGCTGCAGAAGGGGAGGGAGTCTGGAGCCTACATCCTGATGACTTCACAGCAGTAACATGTGAATGTTTTGAGCCACAGATTAATCCAGAGGAAAGTGAATATCGTTATACCAGATGGAAGAAAGCTGTTAAGAAATCAATGGGGTGGAAGACATCAGCACCTCAAGGAAACAGTGAAACTAGTATCTTCTGTAGTCTGCCTTTGGACTTTTTTATAATGAGTAGCCTGTTAATGTTAATCGGAGCAAAGTATATCTCAGATACAGAGGGGCTGCCACAAGGAAGAGGGGGTCACGTTCACCAGAGCACCAGAGGGAAGGACAAGAAACAATGGTTGGAAACTGATCAAAGAGAGAAGCAACCTGGAATTAAGGAGAAACTTCCTGACAGTGAGGACAATCAACCAGTGGAACAGCTTGCCTCCAGAAATCGTGGGTGCTCCATCACTGGAGATTTTTAAGAAGAGACTAGACAATCACCTGTCTGAGATGGTATAGGTTCTCCTGCTTGAGCAGGGGGCTGGATTAGAAGACCTCCAAGGTCCCTTCCAGCTTCT